TCAATATGGTTTTCTAAATGTACCTACCATGTCTATATTGGTTATAAAAAGCCATTCCGGTAGATCCAAATGTCAATATGGTTTTCTATATGTACCTACCATGTCTATATTGGTTATAAAAAGCCATTCGGGTAGATCCAAATGCCAATATGGTTTTCTATAATGTACCTACCATGTCTATATTGGTTATAAAAGGCCATTGCGGTAGATCCAAATGCCAATATGGTTTTCTATATGTACCTACCATTTATAATATGCTGGTAATAGTTTATTCCGTGCTTTCTGTAGACTTGGTGGCAAGTGTTCATGAATAATAAAGTTAGTTTCCTTCAATAGCGACCCTCTTCCAAGAATCTCATCTCTGTCCTTGAGAAATACACATCGGATAACAACTGGCGGACATGGACGCTCTTTACTTGGTTTAAATAAACGGTGTAAACTGCTAAAAAGCATTTTGTCAGCAGTAGCAATTTTCAATTCCTCAATAAGTAGTTTTCGAATTTTTGCTGTTATGTCCTCACCTGCTTCGTACTGCATACCACGAACAATGACATTGCATTTTCGGCTATATCTGTCAAGCTGGTTATGGTTTTCTATATGTACCTACCATATCTATATTGGTTATAAAAGGCCATTCCCGTAGATCCAAATGCCAATATGGTTTTCTATATGTACCTACCACGTCTATATTAGGTTATAAAAAGCCATTGCCTGTAGATCCAAATGCCAATATGGTTTTCTATATGTACCTAAAATCTCTATATTGGTTATAAAAGGCCATTCCGGTAGATCCAAATGCCAATATGGTTTTCTATATGTACCTACCATGTCTATATTGGTTATAAAAAGCCATTGCGGTAGATCCAAATGCCAATATGGTTTTCTATATGTACCTACCATGTCTATATTGGTTATAAAAGGCCATTGCAGTAGATCCAAATGCCAATATGGTTTTCCATATGTACCTACCATGTCAATATTGGTTGTAAAAAGCCATTCCCGTAGATCCAAATGCCAATATGGTTTTCTATATGTACCTACCATGTCTATATTGGTTAGAAAAAGCCATTCCGGTAGATCCAAATGCCAA